TAAAAAGTTAAAAAGAACAGCATTTATTCAAAATATAAATCTTTGCTATCACTTCTGAACAATTTAACACATCCTTGCTGAATAAAAGTTTTAATTTCTTTCAAAAAAAAAAGAAAGAATAAAAAATGACTGACCCCAAACTTTTGAACGGTAGTGTATATTGTTAGAAAATATTTTTATTTTAAATAAATGTTCTTATTTTTAACTTTTTATTCATCAAAGAATCCTGAAAAAATTATCACAGATTCCCAAAAAGAATATTAAGCAGCACAACAATTTCCAGCACTGATAATAAATCAGCATATTAGAATTATTTCTGAAGATCATGTGACACTGAAGACTGGATCAATGATGCTGAAAATTCAGTTTTGCATCACAGGAATAAATTAGATTTTAATGTATATTAAAATAGAAAAACGTTATTTTACATCATAATAATATTTCACAATATACATTTTTTTCCATGTATTTTTGATCAAATAAATGCAGCCTTGATGAGCATTAGAAACTCCTGTAAAAAACATTAAAAATCATCTGATCCCAAACTTTTTACTGGTAGTGTAGTTCAAATCACTGTCTGTATGAATTGCATAATATTAAAGTAAATAAAAATAACCGCTTGTGTAATATACACATAGTAAATGATGCAACTTAATGCTTTGGTTGGACGACTTTCTCGCTACTGAAACAGACAAATGTCTCTGAAAGCTTTGGGGTAGTTCTCAAGATAAGAGTCATGCTAAATTAAAATGTCACATTAGAGTGAGCAGCAATCAAATGAAGCATGTTAAACTTGCTTCCTGCTGCACTGAAAGGAAATACAGCTTAGCTCACAGCAGAATTAGACAGGAAGTGAATAAATAGTAAGTGAACGAATGGTGAACGAAAGCAACAAAAAAAAACGAAACAAAAAAAAAACAAGGAAGTGATGGCTTCCCTGACCTTAAAATGGACACGTAAATCTGAGTGCTCGGGAAGTTGTAACGCTCTACCCTGGATAACATGTCGAAGAAACCAGGCAGTAGGTGACTGACGCATGACACGACCAAAGGCAGTTTCAGCAAACCCACAGCTTTCTGAAAAGAGTTTGCTTACATGATAAAGACATAAACAAATGATATCAAATAAAGAATTATATTTTAGTTCTAGAGGAAGGACAAAAACAAGAAATACAGAAATATTTCTTAGAGAAATGCATCAAGAATTCTAGAGAGAAATAAAACATAGGCAGTCTAAGCATTTCAATTTGTTTTTCTATAAAACCAAATGTAAAGCTGATGAATGGGGACAAATGTGCAAATTTGCATTTACAATTAAAACAGTTGTATTTTGTAACTTTGTGCGTTACACACTAAACAGAAAACTTCCATTTATCAATTTACAATAAATGTCATTAATTAATGCACACTCTCACTGGGTCGGGTTTTCCAAAGGTACAACTTTGTATCTTATTTACCACTAAAGTGTGCATATTAGTGTTTTTCTATAAAACAGCATTCCAGCTTTTGTACCTCTTTTTTTTCTGTGAAACTTTTTTTTTCTGTGTAACTATGTACATTATCCTGCTAACTATATCACTAGTAAGTTATGGGGACTTAAATGCAGTGTTGGGGATAACATTACAAGTAACGCGAGTTATGTAATCAGATTACTTTTTTCAAGTAACTAATAAAGTAAGGCATTACTTTTTAATTTACAATAAAATGTTTGAGTTACTTTTTTAAGTAAGTAATGCAAGTTACTTTGTTTTCCCATTTATTGACTGACAGCTCTGCTGTCCCCATGTTGAGAGAAATCAGGAGTAAGTGCAGAGGTGTTGTGTAAGTAAACATGATGTTACTGTAGTTCTGGACTAAATGTGAACATGCATTTACTCATCTCACTTGCACAAAAACAGATTCAGTATTACTCAAAATGAATAAAACCTGTGACACGCAAACTCTAAATATGACATAAACCAGCAATTATTAAATACATTAAATAACACAAATATCCATTAAAGGCAGAGTAAGTGATTTCTGGTAGCCAATGTTGATATTTGAAATCACCAAAACAAACACGCCCCTACCTGTCACGAATCTGGTCCATGTACTTCTAATTTCATTGACTCTCGCACTACACACTGTTGCACATCACCCCAGACTACATTTCCCATCATGCATTGCACTGATTGCACTCAGCACGAATTGCACACACCTGATTGCTCTGATTGCACACAGCTGTTTCTAATTACCTCATTCACTATATAACACCCACTCTAACCACATTTCTCGGCTGAGTATTGTTGAGCCTGTACCCCTTTCCGAGTCTCCATGTTTTCCTAGTTTTTGCCTTGCCTTGTCTGTTTTCTCCGGTTTTGATCTTCGCCTGTTTTCCTGGATTCCTCCCTTTAGCCTTGCCCCTGTGACTCTGTCTGCTGTTCGGTGACCTACGCTAGCCCGGTGACTATTCTTGTGTTTTGCCCGCCATATACCTGTTTGCCAGTGTTTTGACCCTGCCTGTTTACCACGTCTCTGAAATAAAGCTTTGCATTTGGATCCGAACGTCTCACGTCTCGTCAGCCCTGTTACACTATCCAAAACGGGTCTTACCCCTATTTTGATAGCTCCGCCCCACATATAGGTACGCAACCCAGGCAACGATTAGTTCTGTGAAACAAAGCAAAACCAATAGGTGCGTTCGACTTGAAGCACCGCTACAGACGGCAGTCAACGAGAGTAGCCGCTTGCAGTCGGGGGCGGAGCTGAAAACGGAGCCGTCAAGCCGGACACTTTCTGCTCCCGTTAGTGATGCTCGCGTGGTGTTTGCTTACTCTATCACAGATGAAGTGAATTAAATGCAATATTTGTCAAATACACAGACGTTTCAGAAATGTTTTCATGAGCAACAGAAACACTTTTTATATACTGCTTAATACAGCGTCATCTGTTCAAGAATAAAGTTCAACGTAAATATATACTATTTAAATACTAATAAAGTGGGGGTACATATGCTTTCATGATAAACGTGACTCAATATAACATTGCGACTACAGTAAAAAAGCGTTTACTGTTCTAAAAACACAGATTTATGAGCAGTATTGGATTTGAAGATGTTAGAAACACACGTCATTGTTGTCATGTGGTGAATTTGGCCAATCGTGAAACAGCTGTGTCGTCATCAGCTCTCCTGCAGTCACTCTGAAAAAGCTGCGCCAGCGGAGTCAGCCGGCTGCTCTCGAGATGATATCGCGGTACTTTGATGCCACACGTGACAGTGACTTGGCGTCGGCGCCGGTTCAGGTCGGACAAAATTTCGGCGTGGCGCAACAAATCCCCGACAGGAAACTGCTGCCGGGTTCTATTTATGAAGTGCTGACACACATTTCAAATGGTTTTCAAGGGTCGTTTGATCGCGTCCAGTGTAGGCAGACTTTAGCTGTTGTAGGCATGGTGTTACTCGCCTATCGAGAAGAAACAAAGCAACCTCGGCGGTGAGTTCTCTCCAGCGCTGATCCGATATTTACATGAGTCTTACTTCTTGCCTTATCGTTCTGCAGACGTTTTCCTCTTTTGTTTTTTATCCGCCATCTCTATCTTTCTGTCGCTCGGCTCGGCTAATGTCCGTCCTGTACACTGAACTCTCTCTCCTCCACATCACAAGATGAGTAGACACGCCCCTTATTGCTGATTGGCTACAAGTTTGTTTTGCTATTCGGCCCGAATCAGTTTTCTAAAGTGTTTTTGAAAAATCACATACCCTGCCTTTAAGTATTTAATCCCATTTTATTAACCAATGTCCAATGTCTTTTCTGCTGACCTACGGTGATCCAATTCAACCACACTAATAAGCAAAAATTATTTTTTTTATTACTGAAGAGTGTTGAACTTCTTCATGCAATCCAGAATAGCAGCACAACTAGAAGGTTTGATTGAGCTGTGCCCTCTACTGTTTCTCTTCATTTCACTTTTGATGTGAAAAGGCTTTTTACATTTGCCAAAAATAGAACTTTTTATATTAAAATCAAACAAGCAAGCCTCACCCAGATTTAAAAAGTAACGTAACACCTTACTTGCCATTAAAAATTAACTAAGCAATGTAATTAGTTCTTTTTTTAGGGAGTAACACAATGTTCTAATTCATTACTTTTAAAAGTAACTTTCCCCAACACTGCTTGAACAGCATTGTGAATGAGCACAGAATTAAAGGCTAAACTGAAACACACCGACAACACAATCATAGTTTTATATCAGCAAGGCAACAGCCCAACAGACAGTATTTTTCAAGATGTGGAGTGATATCTGAAGAAAACAGTCAACCAGAAAATGCAGTTGTTGAAAATAAAGCTGTTTGCATTTTAATGAGGCAGCAAAAATAACTGGTGTGTGAACTGAACAGGATGTGACTAGTGTTTTCTATCATGAATTGTGTGATTTCCTTAAGTGTTAGGCATCCTGTTGCCTTCCTGTTGTCTATTCAAAAATATGACCAGACCCTTACCTTGGAACTGCCCTGGTCAATGTAAGGGTGTAAGTAGTAAACAGCCAGCATGCAGGCAGCTATGCAAAAGAGGCAAATGGACCATACAAGAAAGTGTAGACTCAACCAGCACAAAGTTGAACACAAGTTCCTCTTCTGTTTTCTGCAGCTGAGCTCAGACAGCATCTCCTAAAACACAAACATTGACTCAAATTCAAGCTTCATTGTAAAAGTCAACAAAACATTACCTGTGATGTTACGTATTGTTAAAGTGTGTCATTTCTGCTTCAGTGTGACCAAACAGAATTGTCCCTGTCTGCCCTTGGTTGGACAAACAGGTCGTCCTTCTTTAGACTTTCACAGCAGTGGTTTTACTGATGTTGCTAAATCAGTCTAAAAACAGTGTTCAAAGTGCTACAGTGTGTTAAAAACAGTGTTCAAAGTGCTACAGTGTGTTTACACTTTTCAGAAAGTCTACCAACGAATAGCTTACGCAATGGGCTTGGAGGAAGTATTTTAAAGGGGTCATATGATGCTTTTTTAAAGATCATTATTTTGTGTATTTGGTGTAACAGAATATGTTGACATGCTTTAATGTTCAAAAAACACATTATTTTTCAAATACTGTACATTATTGTAGGTCCTCTATGCCCCGCCTCTCTCAAACGCTTCGTTTTCTACAAAGTCCCTCCTTTGACAAGCGCAGTCTGCTCTGATTGGCCAGCTGACCCAGTGCATTGTGATTGGCCGAACACCGCAAGCACTTGTCGGAAATGTAACGCCCCTTACCATAACCGCGAGCTTCATCTTTCAAAATAAATGTAAAGACAGAGCCCGAAAGGGGAACAGAGTCGCGTGACAGACACAGTGATGAAGCTGGTATGTGTTTGCAGTACACAAGCCACGGTTAAGACAGCTGACTCCACTGTGATGTGACCCCCCCCCCTCTCTCTCGTGCTCTCTCTCTCGCTCTCTCTCTCTCACTCTCGCACTCTCTCTCTCGCTCGCTCACACACACACACACACAATGAGCAAAACTCTACATTTGAACATATGTGGGGGCGTGTTAGAATGAGCCGTTTTAGGGGGGCGTGGCAAAGTCTTAACTTTGATAAAGAATATCTTTTTGGTTTTGAGACTTTAGTCTTTGCAACTTCAGGGATCTTATCTATGCACAATCAGCTTGTAACACTCCAAAGAGAAAGGAAAGGAAATCGCATTATATGACCCCTTTAACATCAAACAAATGATGGTTACACTGTTCCTGTAACGCTGAGTCAGAGGCGTGCGGATCCATTTGCAGCTTTTATTAGAATAACAGGCAGAGTAAAACAGGCAGTATTCAGTCAACAGCGTCACGTACAGCAGGGGTAATCCAAGGGAATAAACAGTGGCAAAGCGAGGGTCGGGGCAGGCGGCAGAGAATCACACTAGTAAGAACAGTCCAAGGTAATACACAAGAGATGACAAGGAAGGGGATAAACGCTCAGAAATGTAGCCGGGGCAATACAAGACTTCGCAACCATGGAGAGTCTGGGAGCTGTTTAAATAGGGAAGCTAAGGGGGAACACCTGTGCCGTAATCAGCCCCAGGTACGGGGTGTCTGGGAAATGTAGTCCATGAACGTTAGTACTCGGGAGAGGGTGTCGGAGAGAGCCACAGAGGCCTGATTCGTGACAGTTCTGTTATTAATGAACAACTACACAGGAGCACATGAGTAACACAATATTAACATTCTAACTACTATTAACTGACAAGAAACTTTGATTAGTAAATTGGAAAGTAATATCATTAGCTACTGTTTTTTTTTTCCACACCTCTCGGAACACAATTTCAACCGAGGGGGCCCCCCCAGTGACCGCTTGCTTAGTGCCCCCAAAACTCTAAACATGCCCCTGGAAACTATATGTTTCATAATTAATGTTAATACATAATTAGTTATAAAATGAATAGCATGGCAACCTACCCGTAATGATTGAATTATTACCAACTCCTTTAGAAGGAATTACTAATTATTTGGAACAGTATTCTGACAGCCGACCAAATACGTTACTTCTCAGACATTCCAAGACCCGACAAATGCTGATTCAACATTGACAAAAACAAGCTTGACCAATGCCAACAGGGGCAATAAACCGATCAGACAAAACCGGACGAACATGTCTGTTGCCGAAACGAAGTATACTTTGGTGAAAAGCATGATAACTCCCTAGAAATTAATTAAGTCATTGTAAGCTTTTGATGTGTTTCATAAGGTTTTGGATATAATTCCTTCTGATGGGTATAGTAGGAGTCATTATTAGTGGGTAACCATGATATTCACTTTAGAATGCTGTGCCAAACAGCTAAGGATGTAGTACTATGTGTAAGAAATAAAATAAATACAAATAAGGATCAGAGGAATGCCAGAAAATTGGCAACAGGAGTAAGATCCGGAAAACTGATTTTAAAAAGCCATTTTTTTTTTCAATTTTCCATTGTAAACATTGTAAGCTCTGTAAAAGGAATGATAAAATGTAGTAATTATTAACAACTTACCATAATCTTAAGTCTGTTATTAACTATTGATTTTGCGATGATAAGTAAATGCTAAAGTAGTGGTTAAAGTGTTAATTTGTTCTGCATTAGTTACTGATTACTTGAAACTATATATAGTTTCTTAGTAGTTCTCTGGGAGGAATGAAAAACTATTGCAATCAATTGTGTACTTTAATTCATTAATCTGAGATCCTTGTTAATAGTGGTTACTAGAATGTTAAAATTGTCTAACCCATTTGCTCCTGTCTAGTTACTCATTAATGACAGAACAGTATTCCTAAGTGTTTCCAAATGACAAACATTGCTGCTGGGTTTTCCAACACTCTGGTTGGTTTCTGGGTTGACCAGTCTGTGAGAGCCATGGCTTGAGAATTATATAGCTCCAAGTTGCACAGTACAGTGTGTAAGCCACTCAACTGACAGTAGGGCTGTGCAATTAATCACATGCGATTGTCATGCGCATCTCGTCAGTAAAGACGGTTCCGTGATTCCATCCTTTCAGATGGAGCGGCATTTACTACACAGAGCCGTAGTTCACTGACAATTAGGCAATATCGCGTTCATAATCGAATGCGATTCATCTGCGATTCCCTCTGTGTAGTAAATGCCGCTCCATCTGAAAGCAGGTGATGGCGATTTACTACTAATCACGGAACCGGCTTTACTGACGAGATGCGCATGCCAATCGCATGCAATTAATTGCACAGCCCTACTGTCAGTGAGCATGAATGGACGCATTCAGATCTTGCACACTACTCAGTGGACCTTTATTTTTGAATGTTCAAATCACTCACGCATGTGAGAAAAATCGAGCTGCAGGCTGTGAAAATTATGTGAGCGGAACGTGGACAAGTGACGTTTTTTGAGTTTCTCCACCCTTTCATCCCCTTTTTTCGGCCTGCAGCTATATTTCTTTAAATGTAAAAATTTTAATAAATTAAAAGTATGCATTTAGCAGACGCTTTTATCCAAAGTGACTTACAGTACATTCAGGCTATACATTTTTTACCAGTATGTGTGTTCACTGGGAATCGAACCCACAACCTTTACCGCTGCTAATGCAATGCTATACCACTGAGCCACAGGGACACTCTTTAAACTAGTTTTACTTTCAGATGCTATTTAAACCTTAAAAGTTTGTATTACAAACCTTCTGCATTTTTTTATTCATATCACATTTGACCTCAACCATAAAATTGTATTGGACTTTAATGTGCATACATGTCTTCAAATATCCCAACATGCTTGTGTACGACATTTTTCAATGCAATTATTAGTGCTCTCTGGAGCATAAATTAGTTTTAACATGAATAGTCATATTGAAACAAACCTTCAGCTGAGTGCAGATGTTCACCGACTGCAGTTTAACGGACCGTTTCTTGCTGACTTTAAAATCCCAAGAGCAGAAAACCTTTAAAGCAAGGTTACCAGTAGTCTTGAATACGTGGAAACTCTTTCCGAATGATTTAGACATACTGAAAGGATAAACAAAATCTGACTTAATCCCAGGGCAAGCTAATGATGGGAAATGTAATTTTCACAGTGTATAAGGAAAATAGACAAACCTGTAAACAAGCAGTACACATGTGATAAACATGCCTGCTCCAATAGTAAAAATATATGCCAGTGGTATGTTGTAATTTTCTGGACACGGTTTAGTTTCAGCTTGGCAGTTTTCATTGGTGGAGTTGGTATAGTGGCCATAAAACATCACAGAGTCTGTGAGGACGCCCTGTTGTGGAACAAAAAACCATAGCGTTCACTAAAGGGTCAATGTAATATAAATGTGGGTCATCTTAAATTTCCAGGGACTGGAAACCCTAATATAAAGCACCTACTTAAAAAAAAAAAATATACATATATTATCACCCTTACCATGCATTAAGCATCCAGAGGTCAGCTGTGGTTGTGTGGTTGTTTTTTGGCGATGGGGGATTTGAGATTTGTGGTAGGATCAGGAAAAGGCCATTGATGAGGAAGAGGAGGATGTTGAAATGTAACAGTCTCCTGAGGAAGATGAAATAAGACAGAACCCCAGTGCCGAAGTGAGCGCTGATGTTTTTGAGCACTCCCTGCCAGAGCTGTATGGATTTCTGCTGGGAGACTCTACCATAGCACCAACCACACAAAACCTATGCATCAAAAACAAGAGTGCATACAGGTTAATAGTGGTTCAACGGATCACAAATCTCACGGTTCGGATCACATTACGGTTTTTGACCCACGGATCGGATCATTTTTCAGATCAGCAAGAAAATAAAAATATTTCAATTTAATTTGCTTTCCATTTATTACTTAAAGCAAAGTACACAAATTACAAGCATAGATAAATACAACAGAATATGTTACAAACAAAATAAGGTTGGTAGTATTCAAATACAGAAATGTAATAATTAGGGAAAATAACACTGCATAGTGTTCACTGTATAAATTAAATATAGATTTTCATCACAGCTGTTTTGTTGTTCGATGATCATTAATGACAGCAGCAGTATTTATAGGCTGCTGTCCCTTTAAGACCTGATGCACGGATCCGATAAAATGATGCACATCACATCCGATTTCTTTCTCAGCTGTTTTCATTCACTTGAGACATAACTGACTGCATTTAACTGAATGATTGTCGAGATGGGTATTTTGTCATAACTTTATGTGTCTGTTCAGAGGATTCAGAAGAGGATTCAGTTCGGTGTTCGTGCGCCGTCTGAAACACGTGTGCACGCTTCATGTGTGCGCGAAGAGAACAGCGCGCGAGTAACGAATCGAGTTCCCTTTCGCCTTTTCTCTCTGGAATTGTTTCAAATTCGCTTGCTTGTGTAAATAGGAACAAATGATAAACTTATACTCTATTATGGTAAAATTTTGCAATTATTCTGCGGATCACATGCATGCCGAACCGTGGGCCTTGGTCCGTACGGATCACGGATCAACTACGATCCTTTTAACCACTACAGGTTAATGAATCAAGAACTGCTGTTCAGTGTTGAACTCTGGAAATCTACATTAGGAATATTTAAAAATGCCACTTTCAATGGTAATTTGTATGTGAATAGGGTACAGACTGTTGTCCCCTTACTTTGCTAAAGCAATGAAGGAATAAAACCAGTCCTCTTGAGAGAAAACTTTTTTTTTAACTTGGTATTAATGACATAATACTTAGCCGTGTACAACATTCGGAGAGCAACCACATTACCTCATGACCCCCC